TAAATATTGAGTATGAAAACAAAGTTATTTTTTTATAACAAAAAATAAAATCAATTGTTTTGAAATGCAACAGTCCTATTTGTTTTGAAAATTTATTGTGATCATGTATTTATAATTTCATAATACCAAATGACATGTAAGTAAAAAATTTACACCCGCAGGTTGGTTATATAATAATTCTTTTTAATATTTCCTTTTATTTTATTCTCATAGATAAAATCATATTTTTTTTAAAAAAAAGAACTTCTTATCATATTACTGAGAAACTAGTGAACTCCCCCAAACAATTCTTTCTGAAATTTCTATGGGTAACCAATTTGAGAATAACTAAATGTAAAGAGATTCTTTATAGTTATCCCTAAGGCATTGTAGAAATCTTGAATGCTTGCCTTCGATTTTTATAATAATTGTCTCATGATTGATCCCTTTTGACATCTGTTTATTCTATTGGTTGAAAAAGTATGTCAGGTCGCAAAGTCAACGCGTATCCATCATAAAGGAGGGAGTAAGGCATTTTAGCAACGTTTTTTTTTTATAAAAAAAATGGGGGTAGGGTTCCATACTTCCATGGAGTACATCGTCCCATATTATATTCACCGCAAGGAAAGGCTGCGCTGGGTGCAGAAATATGATTTCTTACGAGTGATTTTTGCAGGATAGAATAATTCCCTAGTGGAATCGGTAAGAACAAAGAAGGGTTAACTAATGATGGCTGCAGTCTTCAAAAATTGACCGCGTTAATTACAAATGTGCTTGATCATCAGCAAACGGACAATTCTGACGAAGCACAAATTCCAGCTTCTGACAATCCACATTTCTTTCCTATCTAAAGTTATAATTTAAAAAAAGACCGCAGCTGTGGGCAACTAGTTGCTCAAAAAATACCAAAGCAGCCTCGTTAGATTACTATTTCATAGGATTTGATGCAGATAAATTAATTAATTAATGGGTCACGACATGAAGTGTAAAAAAAGAGTTTATGAATGGCATGCAGGCATCAAATTAGAAAAGTTTCTACGAGTTATGGCCTTACAGTTCCTACCTGGACAAATCTTGATTAATGTGCTTGATCAGCCTCTATAAATAGATGAGCTCCCATGCTTTCTTCTCCATCTTCTATCTCAGTTCTCTCAGTCATCCGACAGCTTTGGTACCAGCACCTGCAGACTTAGCTATACATTTAGCGCGTTAAAAACTTTCGTTTCTCCAACTGAAAACACATAAAATGGCAGCAAAAGCAGGAGCAACTCTCCCCTGCATTTTACGACAGCTCCTGTCTTAATGCGCTTAGCCGGATCCAGGCTGCTTGTAGAAATACAATTTTTTTGCTAATTAAAATTCACCGCATATTATTTTATTTTATTTTTTTTTAAATAAAAATAAAATATATGACAAAAAATAAATAAGTCTTTATATATTTTTTAACCAATGAATAGTTAATACATGAGATAAGATATTCAAGATATCTTATTATAAATATAAAATCATGTCAATAAATATCAACTAATAAAATTATATCATGTGGCATTAAAAAAGGACCTAAAAACCCCTATATATTTCTATAAATAAAAGGCCTCAATTTAGAGAAAAAAAAGATTCTAGAGATATAAATTTCTTTCAAGACAAGCTCTTCAAATAAAAAAGCGCTTTCTCTCTCTCCAAATAAGGAAGATCTTTCAAAAGTTCTCAAGTCTCCTTCATCCATGCTTGAAGTCTATAAAAAGCAAAGTTATGATAGATTAAGTCTAAATATCCCATAAAATTTCTTTAACAATACTTTAAAGACGAATTAAAGGTACTCTTAAAAGTATAAAATCACCAATAAGATATTCAAGATATCTTATTATAAATATAAAATCATGTCAATAAATATCAACTAATAAAATTATATCATGTGGCATTAAAAAAGGACCTGAAGACCCCTATATATTTCTATAAATAAAAGGCCTCAACTTAGAGAAAAAAAAGATTCTAGAGATATAAATTTCTTTCAAGACAAGCTCTTCAAATAAAAAAGCGCTTTCTCTCTCTCCAAATAAGGAAGATCTTTCAAAAGTTCTCAAGTCTCCTTCATCCATGCTTGAAGTCTATAAAAAGCAAAGTTATGATAGATTAAGTCTAAATATCCCATAAAATTTCTTTAACAATACTTTAAAGACGAATTAAAGGTACTCTTAAAAGTATAAAATCACCAAATCTTGCTTTACAATACATGCTTATATTCGTGTTCTTGTAAAACACAAATATTAGCTTAATTTCTTAAATAAATCAAGTCACCATACATCAAATCCAAATGAAGAATCAGAGAATTGTCTTGTTCTTTTGAAAAAATACATTACATAGAGATTGTACCTGGTCATACATTTAATAAAATCGTATATTTATAGACGTGTACTTGTTTAATTTCAGGTGTTCAAAATTATGTCTATAAATTTCTAATGACTCTAGTGGGGATATCTTTACCTCTCATTTCTTTCCTTCAATAAAGAATTTTCAACAAACTCTCAATAGCAACTAGGAGGAACATGATCACCATTGTCACATCCAAGAGCAACAAGGCTACTGATTCAAGTCGCCAACATACCATTAAAGATTCTTCAACTCCACTTTTGAAAACGAAATCCATCATCGAATTATATGTGTAAACTAAGTTGACTCTCAAGTTGACATCAACTTCGAATGCAAGAAGGGTACAAGATCTCGTCTTAAAGATGAACCACAAGTAACTCTACTACAAAAGTCAAGTGGGGCGAGCGAAGTTCTCTCGGCACTCAAGTCGACTTTGATAATTCACCCGTAAAAGCTTTTCCATGTCAATCTTCAATCACCAAGTAAGACTTTGGGTTTTGGCATCATATCAATGATAATGACCGAGACAACATCTTTGGAGGATCAAGTGGCTAACTTGACAAAACTCGTTAAGGGGCTTTCAACTTCACTCAAGGCAAAAGACCATGAGATAACAAAGTTGATGAACAAACTTGAGAGCACAAATGAAAGAGGCCAAAACTCAGGTACCAAGGCTTTACAAGTAGATCAATTAGATGTCATTGAGGATTCTATAATCGAAGTTGTAAGGAATATACACGGTATTACTAATGTTATCTTTATCACAAATCAACTAAAATAACTTATCAAGGAAGTCATCACGAACCAAATAGGAAGTTGAGTTCAACCCTTGTATTCCTATGCGAAGCCGTACGCCCAACAAATTGACATGCTAAGGATGCCTCCGAGCTATTAACCACCAAAGTTTCAACAATTTGATGGCAAAGGGAATCCCAGGTAACATTTATCTCACTTTAAAGAGACTTGTAAAACTAATAGCGATCTCATGGTAAAACATGTTCGTTCCTTGAAAGGTAATGCCTTTGATTGGTACACTGACTTGGAGTCTGGCTTTATTGATTTTTGGGAGCAATTGGAGCACAAGTTTCTTAAGCACTTTTATAGCACTCGTCGTGTGGTTAGCATGATTGAACTCACTAATGCATGTCAATGGAAGGAAGAGCTTGTCATCAACTACATTTATCGGTAGAGAAACCTTAGTCTTAACTATAGAGATCGGCTTACTGAAAATTTTGCACTAAACATGTGTATTCAAGAGATGCATTGAGGACTATGCTATATTTTATAAGGTATCAAAATAAAATCTTTTGAAAAATTGGCTACTCGAGCAGAATATAAAACTTAGCATTATAGCAATTGAAAACTCATCATTACCTATGCAAGAGCTAGAAGAAATAAGCTTGAAGGTCATAGATTTGAAAAGAGTACGCCAAAGGTTAAGTTGAGGGAAAGCAATCTTTTGTGGTTTCTCGATTGCTATAATGATACCAGTTTTATCTGTGTCTGTGTGTCTGCTAAATTTACCTCTTACTTATTCTACTTTCATGGTTTAGTATTATTTTAAAAATAGTATTGCTAACTCTTCCAAATATATATTTGGCGTCTATTTTTTCTCTTCCAGTACAAGCCAAGTACTCAATCATTCTTGCATAGGTAATGAACCTTTTCTTTTCATTATAATTTTTTTTTTCATAGCCAATTTTTAATCAGCCAAAAATATATATTTGGCGTCTATAAGTCGTCGGACTTATGCACTAAACATGTGTATTCAAGAGATGCATTGAGGACTATGCTATATTTTATAAGGTATCAAAATAAAATCTTTTGAAAAATTGGCTACTCGAGCAGAATATAAAACTTAGCATTATAGCAATTGAAAACTCATCATTACCTATGCAAGAGCTAGAAGAAATAAGCTTGAAGGTCATAGATTTGAAAAGAGTACGCCAAAGGTTAAGTTGAGGGAAAGCAATCTTTTGTGGTTTCTCGATTGCTATAATGATACCAGTTTTATCTGTGTCTGTGTGTCTGCTAAATTTACCTCTTACTTATTCTACTTTCATGGTTTAGTATTATTTTAAAAATAGTATTGCTAACTCCTCCAAATATATATTTGGCGTCTATTTTTTCTCTTCCAGTACAAGCCCTCTTTTTGGATGTGTTATCAAGAAACTCTGCAGTGCTCCAAGGCTTTGAAAGGAGTTCTTTCATCTAGATAGCAATAGTTCAGAAAAAACTGTTCCAAAACCTGCTAAGGTGAAGTTAAAAATTGTTGCTGCAACATCCAGAGCTCACCTTTACTATCAACACAAAGAAAATGGTTGCCTTCTAGTCGCAGAGCAGTCATTATCCCTGTGTCTCCATGTAATTCAACCGTGGCAGATAAAATAACACATGGCGAAATGTAATTTCACTACGTCACCATGTAATTTAACGAATAGAGGACTGCAAATTGTCAAAATTTTCCATGTCACCTCTTAAGACCATGTCAAAATTTTATTTTTGAGTAACAAATTCTATAATAGAGGAAACATTATCCCGATGATTGAGTCCATGGAAAGGAGCTGATCAAGCCCAAGAACAGGGAGCACAGGGTGTCGTTGATTAAGGGGTAAGAGGACCAGTGAACAAAACATGAATAGGACAACCCATGAACGAATTCTCTTGATTATTGATTTATACTTGACGGACTAAACAATTTGAGAAAACAAATAAAACATCGTTATGTCTGCATACTTGATCGAGAAAATCTTCAAGGAAAAAAAGAATGGAAAAACTAGTTGACAACACTGCAAGTCCTCCTTATCTGCCCGGCTGATCCAGTGAGAAGACCTATATCTCCCATTTTGATCATGGCAGATCCAAAATCTGATTTGAATCTTGCAGGGTTCCTGCTGTATTCAGAGACAATGCTGTCCGTGGAGCCTCCATTGAAAAGCACTTGATCTGATTGAAGGAGACCCTTGTTTCGCATCAGATTCTTGAAGTAATTGTTGTCGAAAGAATTGGGAGTGACCAAATCGAGCGGGGCTAAGGTTGCGTCGCTGCCAACACGTGGACAGCGCCTCCTGCGGGTGCTGGCGAATCCGGCATCGATATTGCTGTCATTGTATATCCTTTCACGGAAAGTGAAGCATTGAGCTTGTCCGAGAGTATGTGAACCTGACAAGGCAACCATGTCCCTTGCAGTCAGGCCTTTCTTTTGGAAGCGAGAAATAAGACTCTCCAGGCTTTCAAAGAAGGCAGGTAACTCTGCGTTGGCTAAAGTTCTACTCGCTGTAGTTGAATCTCTTCTTCCAAGCTTCACTGCGTAGGACGGGCCACCCACCTGTGACATTTTTTCTATGAGAATCATAAATAACAAGTCCTGGTTTTGCAGCTTGCAATATCGAAGGCAATAATTAAAGAGATGGATTTAGATATACTCACATAAGAAGACGCATCTCTCGCTGCAACAGCAATGATATCCGCACAGGATACTACTCCGGGACAGATCTTCTCAACTTCAGTTTTTGCTTTCTCTATTACATTATAACCTCTTGCAGAGTTAAGATTGCCGAGGGCAGTCTTTTCACTCTGGATAGAGGAAGTCTCGTCTAGTAAGATGGAGGCATCACAACCCTGCGAAACCAAGGAATAACTCATAAGTACACTGGCTCCAAGATAATACATAATCAGAGAGGAGCAATGTGGCTGCCAAAAGTAGTTGCAAGAGTACCTGGACAAAGCAATCGTGAAAGTGTAAGCGGATGAGAGACGCAGCCATTCTCCTGTCCCCTGCAATTGCACTTCTGATAGCAGTTCGGATCGCGCTAAGCGCGTTAGGACAGGAGCTGTCGTAAAATGCAGGGGAGAGTTGAGCCTGGCATGCTATGTTCAGCAAGAACAGCATGAAAATGAAAGAAGCTGCTGCTCCTGCTTTTGCTGCCATTTTATGTGTTTTCAGTTGGAGAAACTAAAGGTTTTAGCCCGCTAAATGTATAGCTAAGTCTGCAGGTGCTGTTACCAAAGCTGTTGGATGACTGAGAGAATTGAGATGGAAGATGGAGAAGAATGCATGGGAGCTCATCTATTTATAGAGGCTGATCAAGCAAATTAATCAAGATTTGTCTAGGGAGGAACTGTAAGGCCATAACGCGTAGAAACTTTTCTAATTTGATGCCTGCATGCCATACATTAACTCTTTTTTTACACTTCTTGTCGTAACCCATTAATTAATTATTTTGTCTGCATCAAATCCTATGAAATAGTAATCTAATGAGGCAGCTTTTGTATTTTGAGTGCAAGTAGTTGCTCACAGCTGCGGTCTTTTACTAAAAAAATATGGATGGACAGAATCAGGAATTGTCCGTTTGTCCATCAAAACAACTATAATTATTTTATTATTTAAGCCTCGTTGAAAAGTCAGAGTCAGAAAGCGATTGAGACAGCTCGGCTTTTGACGCTACGTATATCACCCAAAGCCTTTTTTCCCCCTAAATCACATCTGAACGGAATCTCTTTCACTTCCGCTGATCAACTAAAATCCTACTCTTATTGCCCCTTCATGATTTAGAAAATGTATTTTCCTTTTTTAATTTTTCAACTGAAAAAACTGTAACTAATGCTCACCGGTTCCTTCTACGTTTATGACAATAGATTCACAAAAATTTACTCAATATTCCATGATAAACTTCGAATTATTAAAGAGTTGATACAATTTTTCAACAAAATTAAAAGTAATTTAAAAAGGGTTTATCATAAATACAACCCCTTTTTGTCATGCCTAGAATGATCATTAAAATGCCATATTTGTTGTTGCCAATATTAAGACAATATAGCCAAGAAAGGAAAACTTGCCACTTGAAATCAATGAATTATAGAGTAATTTGGCCTGATTTTACAGCTGGTTAGTTAGTATAAATGCTCACCGGTCCCTTCTACGTTTTTGAAAAATATCAAAGATTGTATTCTTACCACTTAAAATATGGACTATGACCATATCTATATAGAAATTAATGATTGGTTGAAAACTTGTATAATTTAATTATAATTCAGAATCATTCTTAGCCTCCACATTTGATCAATTATTTGTTTTTAGAATTGCTATTTTTTTTTTAGTTTTTAAACCCCATTTAAAGTTGACCTAGAATAAGTCTTGTATTATAGGCTAAATAGATTGAGTTTGGTTGACCTAATTTTTATTTTTAAAAAATCAAAACAATGTCGATTTTAAAATGAAATTTGACAAAAAAAATGAAAAAAATCAATAAATTTTGATGAGATTTTTTCATGGTAGATTAGATTGCTAGTTAACCTATTAATTAATATTTTTTTTATTAAAAATTATTCGAAACAAGGTGTTAAATCACATGACTCTCATGTTAAGAAAATAAAGAATTTGTCTTCTTACCACTACGAAACCAGTGAGCTCTCACAAATAAATCTTTCTGAAAATTGAATGGGTAATCGTCTCTTTAGATTATCCCTATAGAATTCGTCAATGCTCGTCTTTGAAATTTTCTAATTGTCTCATGATTGAAAAAGTATGTGTTGTACGTACAAAATCAACGCATTTCCCTCATAAAGGACCGAATAAGACACTTGACCACCGTACTACAAAACAAGGATGTTTCCATGTAGCACATCGTCGTCCCATATTATATTCACCGCCAGAAAAAGCAGCGTTGGTTGCAGAAAAAAGGGATTTTTTAATAGTGAATTGAAGGATAGAATAATTCTCTAGTTGAATTGGTAAGAACAAATTAAGAGGGGTTACCTAATGATGGCATGCAGTCATAAAAAAATCGAACGCGTTACGAGTGTGCTTCATCATCCTTCTATAAAAGGATGAGCTCTGCATTCTTCTCCATCTTCTATCCCTTCTCTCAATTCTATATTTGATAACAGCTTGTGTTAATCAACTGGATTAATTTGCAAAAGCTATAGATTAATTTTGTGAGAGTAAAAATTAGTCTTGCACTTAGACGACTCGTAGAAATTAGTCTTGCACAGGGAATTATTTTAAATCATAGCTAAATTTCATAATTTTTCAACTAATAATTAATATTTAGTTATTACATCTGGTCGTATAACATCCGTTGCATACTATAACAGCAGTGTCTTTGATTTTTTCCTAACAGTACCGAGGAAGGAACCTGTTGGGTATGCGACCAAAGTCCCACATTGGTTAGAAATGGGGAGGATCAAGGGTATATAAGGATGGACAAATATCTTCATTGGTATGAGGCCTTTTGGGTATAACCCAATAGCAAATCCATGAGGGTTTAGGCCCAAAGTGGACAATATCATACCAATGTGGAGATAGGTGGTGTCCGTAATCCTTACAAGTGGTATCAGAGTCATGCCCCAGAGTTAGCCATGATGGATGAATCCTTGGAATGCCGCACAAAAGGCGGTGGGCCCTAATTAAATCACGATGTGATCCATGAATCAGTTATATTGGATAGGCGGTGTGCTCCGGATGCTTCATGGACGTGTCCTGATCTCAACACGGTGAAGAGGAGTTGACCTAGAAAGAGCAAAAACTCTCAAGTCAGGTAGTGCTCTCCAGATGCTTCATGGACGTGTCCTGACCCCAACACGATGAAGTAGAGAGAAGTAGAGGATGAAAAAATCATGGTTGGCAGAGAGTGGATGAATAAATGATCGTTTGAGGAGAGGCTCGGTGGTCCTTTATTCGAGGGAAGGATTGTTGGGTATGCGACCAAAGTCCCACATTGGTTAGAAATGGGGAGGATCAAGGGTATATAAGGATGGACAAATATCTTCATTGGTATGAGGCCTTTTGGGTATAACCCAATAGCAAATCCATAAGGGTTTAGGCCCAAAGTGGACAATATCATACCAATATGGAGATAGGTGGTGTCCGTAATCCTTACAGAACCGGTAAGCATACCAGCTAACCAGCTGTAATATCAGGCTAAATTACTCTATAATTCATCGATTTCAAGTGGCAAGTTTCCCTTTCTTTGCTGCATGGTGGTAATATACTCATTGACATTTCCTTTTCTGCTTGTTGGCACCGCGTAGCTTACCAAATCCTCAATTTCCAGGCTGATGAGAGAAAGATGCAGGCCACCTTTTGTTTCGTTTACTTTAGTATATAAGGATGTTTTTTTAATAAAAAAAAAGACCATTAAAGCATTATCTTTTCTAGACAGGGATGACAATTCCACTCAATATGCATGATGCTATACTAAACTTAACCAGTCCTTAATTCTCCGATTCCTATACATATTGTATGGAAAAAAAAAAATCAAGAACATTGTTTCTATATGGACCTTATATCACAACGATCACGAGATCTAGCTAAAGCTATGTAGAGTATAATTCCCAGTAAATATGGAGGGATCTCTTATTAATTTGTTTTAGAAAAATATAAAATTCCCATTTGCTTTGAAAACAGTAATATCATTTAAGAAAATTCTATAACTGGTTTGGAAATAGCTAAAAAGAGAGAGATGATTTTAGCTTATTCCCAGTGACACATTGGGATTATGCAGTCTCATATGTTCCATGTAGCATGTAGCCCTATGTTTATTCTGCGACTAGCATAACGAATGTGACAAATTCTTTTTTGAGTGGCCATTTGCTGATTAGGACTTATTTGAGGATTTTTCCCAAATTAGAAGAATTGTTTTTTTTTTAAAAAAACAATCATTCCATTATTTAATTTAAATCATATTTTAATATTTTATTAATTTATTTTTTGTGTACACTGTCGCACATGGAAGCAAGGACTAGGGGAGTTATAGAACTCACCACCTAGTTGTTTGATTTGGGATAGCTATGAAACTTAGGTGTACTGGTCTTATAAAAAATTACAAGCATAAGAGATTGATTGTGGTTAGAAAAGTTATTAATATTATAACGCGCACACCCTATTTAAGATAAATTACATTAAGTAGTGTGAATTTAGTTTAAATATTTTAATAAGTTTCTAACCAGTGATTTGTCTATTGACTTAGGATGAAGATTTAGTCATGTAACTAAATCTTGCCTTTTGAATTTATTATGTGTTCATGTGTCTAAATGAATTCTTATAGAGATGATCCATATAGGTCTCGTGTTCACTCATCTTGGAAAGCGGAAAGGTTTTTCATAAATCGTGTGTTGTGGTGAAAAATATTTCTAATTAAAATTAGTGAATATTCATAATAATTCTGAAAATTTTCTAGTTAACTCCTGATATTTACAAAACAGCCTACTTGTAAGTCTAACATTTATACCAGAATGTTAACCATTAATTCTCATGAATTAAAATTTTATAAGTTATTAACATATAATTTTTTTTATTTTTTTTAAAGACTTTGTTGTATACATTTCAAAGCCACCACAAGTGGTTTCTCCCACCAACAATTGGTATCAGAGCCCCGTTCGTCGGAAAACAGAGGTATTTTTCGAAAATATCCGAATTTTCAAAGTTGTCAAAAACAAGTTTTGATCTTTCCAAAATGTAGAGCTCATCAATACGAACTCAACGGCGTAAAAATCAGATCAATCGGAGCACGGGGTGGACCACACTCTCCGTCTGAAGTTTCAGCACTGTATCCCACGCGCCCCGAGGAAGAAGACGAGTGAGCCACACGCGCACCATATTTGAGCCGCGCCGAGCCAAGCCTCAAGCCGAGCAGCGAGCCAAGCCGCGAGCCATATTTAGAAGTCGAGCCGAGCTCCAAGCCATATTCCAAAGCCAAGCCAAGCTCCGAGCCATATTCTAAAGTCAAAGTCAAAAAGAATATTCCTTGGAATATTCCCGGTTCAACCCAGCAAACCACCCGAATTGGTTTTTGGACCGGTTCGCTCCATTTTTGACCCGTTTTCTACAAAGTCAAACCGGTTCCCTACTATTTGGACCATTCTGAATCCATCTACGGTGTCGGTTTTGCCAAATTCAACTCCTAAAAGGTGATATAGTCATTTAAAGAGCAAAATGACTACAGAAAATGCACAAACACTCATCCCAAAGCTAACCAAAGACAACTATGATAGTTGGTGCATCAGATTGAAGGCATTTCTTGGTTCA